CAACGACGGATGGCAACGACGGATGGCAACGACGGATGGCAACGACGGATGGCAACGACGTCGACCTTGTAGCGACGACGGGAGCGGGGCATGGCACTTCAACCCGACGACCGCTTGGGTCCAGCCTGACTTCATGTGGAGTGTGAGCGAAGGGGGCTAGGACTGGGCGTTCTGAGAGAAGATGGGAATGGGATTGGGTCTGCAACATTGGAGTTTTCGCCTTGTGTTTTGGTTTCGAGTGGGAGTTGGGGCGTTTGCGAGGGAAGACAGGAGGGATAAAGCGGATTGAGACATGAAGGAAAGAGAAGAATCCCAAACTGAATATACCCTTCATCGACAACACATCAAATGTCCTTCCCCTCAGGACAATGCAGTGTTACCCGTTGACGTATATGTCTCTCTCCCTGAAATTCTGCTCTTCTTCCATCTGGCTGGAATGGGGGGTTGATGTCTCATGGTCACCATGATCCGGCCTCGTGTCGCGCTGGATATGCCAGGCAACCTCATGATTCAGGTTATTGGCCTTCACGTTCCGCACATGGTAGGCAACAACAAGTCTTTTGAGCAGGTCTCTGCGGTTATCTCGGGCTGTGTCGGGGAGCAATGCGGGGCCCAGTCTTCCTCGTCGTCGCTGATGAGGGACGGTCAATGTCTCATGGTCCTCTTCGGAGGTCAGTAGTCCCCTCCCATTTGAGTGGGAGTTAGGGCTGTCCTGTTTACCTGCGGAGTCTGACCCCAGCGTAGATTGAGCTAACCGTAGAGCCGAACACAGTAACAAGACGGCACATTCCGAGCTCGTCGTGGTTCAACAGCGGCGAGTGTCAAAAATGGGCGTGCAGGCCTTTTCTGTGGGAGGTTGTTTGCATGGCTGTTCGGTTAGAACAGCGGTGGTCTTGGGGTTTCGGCACATGCCGAAAGTGGTGACACCGTAATTGAATGATCCATTGAACTTGGACAGGTAACTCCATACCGTCCGAGTTAGAATTGGGCAGCGGTGCAGTTCTGTCTCTCCTGTAAGATCGTGATGTAATGCACAGCCACCAGCCCTCCGATATGCAGAAGATCGTTAGTGAGATCCGAGTGCTGAAAGCGAGGTCAATTGATTGCACTGAACACACAGTGCCTAAGAGAGCAAGACACTAGGCGGTGAGGGTTCCCCGATGCTCTTTGACCGAGCGCGGTCTTATTGACCTTGATCAAGGTGCCGTTGCCCGACTATATCCAGCGGTCTCAGCCTTCGATAGAGACTTTTATTATGCGCATCGACGAGACGCGCTTCAAAAGATGATCGGGGTTCATTGCTGTGCTTGAGGCAGCACCCTCAATTCTCGCGCTAGGCTAGATTCGGCGATATATACAAGGCGCAGTCGTCTATTAGGGCTCAACATACAACTTCATGTGGTACCTCTCTGGTTGCCGATTATGGACCTCATGATGATTTGTAGGAGTTGCTTGACGACATCATAGACGCTCTGAAGGTCTCTTCCACAAATCTATTGGCATTTTTGAACTTTTAGATCAACGCTGGAAGTTTGAGGTCACGTAGATGTAAGATTGGAAGCGGCGACTTTGAAGTTTGATGGACAGCCGCTGTCACACGACTGGCCCATCAAGTGTGCAGTGCATCGCAATGAAGGCCCACCTGGGAAGCAAGGGTCGCACACAGCTTATTTCGGGCGCAATTGCTTATTGGCCGATAGAGCCTAAAGTGGGCCAGACAGCCGCTTTTGCCGAGACTCTAGCTTATTTCAGCAAGCCCCTGCTTGGACCCTGGAGCCTGGACTCGCCATTTCAAGTGCATCGTGAAGCCGCAGCCTCGCACGAGTTGTGCCATAGCCCCCATGTTGTTTCTCCTTTCCCCTGTGCGACTAATGTACCTACCACTCGGCCCCGCTTCCCAGGCTTGGGCTGAGCGCAGGCTGGGGGCATTGGGGTGAATGAAGCAGGCGAGAAAAAAGGAGGCCCCTGCAAATTAAAGCTGACCGCTTCCTCCCTTCTCCTTCTGCATTCCTGTGAAGACGACACCGATTCCACGCGGTTCACACTGCTCTTGCAAATTGCCTGCAGTGTGACTGTTGGGACTACTACACTACTGTGGACGCCGGCGTCGTGCTAGGGACCACCATTTTTCACAGCAGCAAACAGACGCGCCGTATATTTCGACGAGCCCTCTGTGCTACGACAGATCTCTCGTCTGAGGCTGCAACTCGTCGATCTGTGGAGCGTCGCGACCACGCGAACAGACCATTTGCATACAAAGTCGCCGTGCCAATCCGGGCAAGAATATTCAAAATGCGCGACACTGTTCTCGGCTCGCTTTTCCTTGCCTCGGCAACCCTTGCATCCGCCCACCGCCCCGAATGCCTCAGCACCCGCAGCCGGGAACTCGCAGCCGCCGCGTCTTGCGGCGACAAGGGTTCTCTCAACTACTGCATCTCCAACCTCCCCGCCTCGCCACAGCCCGAGGCTGTCTCGCAAGAACTTGAGCGCTGCTTCGTCTCCGCAGGCTGCACGCCCGCCGAGTCCCAGATCGAGGCCTTCTGGGTGCTCAAGCGATGCGACGCCGCCTCGGCCGACCTCCGCCGCGGCCGCCGCCAGAACGACGACCATGACGCGTCCCCTCTCGCCGGCGCGGCCGCCGACCCCATGCTCGCCGCCCGCAACCCCCTCCCTGCAGGAGCCGTCAAAGCCGTGAGCGTCGACGCCCGACAAACCACCACGGCCGCCGCGGCGGCCACCACAACCGCCTTCAACGACAACGAATCGTCCCCCTCCCCCTGCTTCACCGACTCACCCACCGAAATCACCGTCTGCCCGATCCAGACGACGGGCGCCGACGCGGGCAAGAAACTCTCGTGCTACCCGACGGCCACGACCACCCCGAAATGCCGCGACGGCCTCATCTGCCAGTCGGACGCGCAGGGCAACCCGTCGTGCATGTACAAGCAGTCGTCGCTGGGAATCGAGGGCACCATCATCGCCATCGTCTTCGCGTCCGCCATCGTGCTGTCCATCGTGGCCGTCTGCTTCATGTGCTGTCGCGAGCGGCGCGAGCACCGGCGCATCGAGCGGGCCGCCGAGGCCGCGCGCATCGCCAAGGAGGCCAAGACGTCGGCGACGGTGGCGGGCAAGCGGCCCGGCGCGGCCGTGACGGGCGCTGGTGGTGTTGAGGCCAGCCAGCCGCTCATGTACCATCAGGCCGACGGCGGTTTGTCCGGTGGTCCGCAGCACTATCCTCCGCCGATGCCCTCCATGCAGCAGGGCTATGGCGCCGCGAATCCGTTTGCGGATGCCGCTCATGACGGGCATCCGTTGAGGTGAGAGCGGTCCGGGGCGGATTTGACTGCTAAGGAGAGAGAGGTGGGACGGCCCTTGCTGTGAGGGATGTTGCATCTCGGCCAGGCGCGGCTGCTGAGGTAGTTGGGTCCGGGCTTGTAGGGGTGGGAAGGGAGAGGGACATTGCGAAACGGTCAAATTATTTGCGAAGAAGATGGGCCATGTGCTTTGATATTTCGGGTTTGGTAATCCATAGCTCGCTTGAACAAGCGGCGGTGTTGGCATGGAAACTGTTTGGTTCTCGTTATTTGCATTTAAGGCATATTAGCGTCTTATTGCACTGGCGTGATTTAGCAGGCTGAATTATGGCTGTTCAAGGTCTCCATGGAAGCCACAAGAACAACGACACAGTCATATCCTGGATTCCAAATTGTTGAGCCGAGGCAGCCGATGCTGCACTCAATGGACCGCTTTCTTTCGCTGCGTCAAACATCTACTGTACAACAACACAATCCGGCCACTCGCTAAACTTCTAGTAGCTATTTTCTTGAAGAATATACCATAACCATGGCATCTCTTCGTGCGACTCCTTTCCGGGTAGCCTTTGGTCATCCCCGGCACACGCACCGCGTAGTCTCCGAATCAAAAGCCGCCGTGACGAGGCAAAGGCGGTTTCACCAAGGCAACGGCCTGTATTCAGATCCGACCAGAACGCGGAGCTAGAGCGTCCTCCACTCTTCGAAACTGCATGGAGCCGTCCAACCAGACGGCCAGTCCTAACGGCTGCCACCGATCGGACTATCATGAGAATGCCCAACAACCTTCTGCGCCGGTTGGCTGCCGAGGGGACTACCAGGGTGGTGGTAGCCAACCGCCTTCTGGAGCGGCTGCGGCGTCGGCCGGTCGTTACCCGCGACGAACCTGATCGACTTGATCCCTTGGTCGTCCTCTCGCACGTCAAAGCTGCCGCCGCCGTTGTTCTCGTTGCCTTCGGTCTCGCAAATGTCGAGCAGTTCTTTCTCATCGACAGCATGGCCGTGATTGAGCATCTCCACTTGCGTCTTGATCCTGGCCAGCGGGATGAACAAGTCGCCGCCGCCCTCTGCCTTTTTGCTTTCGGCATTGGCAAGATCCTCGTACGCACGACGGAGCATCTTCCGCACAGCCACCGTTCTTGGGATGGTGGGCCTGTCGGCGACGCCCTGTCCCCCAAACGTCGATCCTGACGGCACTGGATTGCCCCACGGCATGCCCATCGGGCCATGGATGCTCAATGGGCTGTGGCCGAACCCTGGTGGCGGGAGAGCGCTGAATAAGTTGGGTTGTAGCGGCATCGGGCCTGGTGGACCCCACGGGTTATGCGAGAATATGGGATCCATTCCGAAAGGGGGCATGGGAAACCCAGGCGCCGGCCGGGGCCCGGGCGCCGAAGCATTCCGAGATATACGGCCCGGGTACTCTGGCAGGCCATCATCCAAGTCGTCCAAGAGAGCACGGCTTCCCAGGTGTTCATTGGGCTCTGACTTCGGCAGCCCACTCAGTGGCGATTCGCTCGAGGGTCGCTGGCCTTGAACCACGCTAGCTGGCCGCCCTATCGGTGTGGGCCGGCTGGCGGGCTGTGGCGCACCCGCGTCAAAGCTGGCAGAATTCTGACGGGAGTGGGGCGACGGGCTATCCTTCTGCATGCCAGGACTCATGATCTGGGCCATAGTGGGCGTCGGAGACTCTATTCCGTGAAACCCTGGCGGCGGATGCACGGGGAACCCTCGATTTCCGACCGGCCCGCCAAACCCAGGCGGCATGGGCATCATACCCGGCGCCGGCCTAAACCCAGGCATGGGAGGGAACAATGGATCGCGGTGCGGAGGGTTACCGAACCCAGGAGACATTTGAGGCAGGCCTGGCGGGAACGACATGGCGCCACCCATAGAGGGAATGCCAAAAGGGCCGTGCTGCGGGGGCATTGATTTTGCTGGGACACCAATTGGAGACGCCGTGTAGGACGGGGGATGGGTGCCAGTCTGCAAGCTGGTTCCTGTACCCCCACTCTTGCTGGGAGGTGCTATAGGCCCTGGGCTCGCATGTACCGGTGTGATGGGGTGAGGGGATGGGTTTTGGCTGCCCGCAGAGCCAGAGTGTGATGCCGCCCCTGAAGAAGCTGCGGAGCTCTCCTGTTGCGATGCTTGGCGTGCTCGCATTGGAGTCGGAGCCTTTGTAAACGCCGGCGTCGCCACGGGAATTAGGGGCGAGGCGAAGGACGTCGGGGTCTGCTGCGGGAGCGCTGGCACAGGGGCGACAACGGGTGGGGGTGGTTGCTGGGTGGGCGCTCGTCTCGGAAGAGTGACGGGTCCGGAAACCGCCTGGGCGGCTTTCTCCTCATTTTTCCGTTTCTCCATGGCATCTTTTCCCTCCTTTGCCTCCTTGGCCTCCTTGTCCTCCCGCTCAACTTTCGCCTTGGCATCCTTCTCTCGACGCTCACGCTCTCGCTGCTCTCTCCTTTCCCGTGCTTCACGCTCCTTTTGCTCGCGGGCTTCCTTCTCCTTTAAACGTGCCTCCTCGCGAGCCTTCTTCTCGCGTTCCCTAGCCTCACGAGCCTTGCGCTCGGCTTCTTCCCGCTCTTGGATCTTGCGTAGGCGCTCTGCTTCCTTACGCTGGCGCTCCTCCTCCTCTGCTTTGCGCTGGGCTTCCCTCTTCTTCCGCTTTTCCTCGGCCTTGAGTCGCTGTTCTTCCGCCTTGCGGGCTTCCTCGGCGCGGCGAGCCGCTTCTTGGGCCGCCTTCTCTGCCTCTCTCCGTGCCTTCTCTTCGGCCTGGGCCTCCTTCTTCTTGGCGGCCTTCTCCTTTCGTTTCTGCGCTTCCTTGGCTTTCTTTGCTTTTCGCTGGGCATCTTGCTGATTTTCGGCCTCGAGCTCCTCGAGGAGTTTAGCCTGGCGCTCCTTCGCGACCTTCTCTCGGTAGGCTGTAAGAACCCTTTGCTCAAACATCCGAGCGGCAAAGATTTGGAACATCCTCCTGCCTTCCTCCATGCGCTGCTCTTCCGTCATGGTATCCTGCTGCAAGTATTAGCGATAAACGGCTGAAGTGAGACAGGAGAAATCCCCTACCTCTTCCTCCTGGCTGTCGTATTCTTCCTCCTCATCTTCATCATACTCTTCCTCCTCGTCCTCAAACTCTTCATCGTCAGGCGGTGGAGGATGGCTATGGCCGTAGCGGTCGCCATTCGTATGGTCGTAGCCCCGCTCGAACTGCCCCCTGGCATCCTCTTCCCGGGCCATGCGGCGCTCTGCGAGCTGCTCCATCATCTCGATGAACTTTTTGCCGTCATTCTTAAGCAGGTCGTCGGCCACCGTCAAGATGCCGCCTAGAGAAGATGAGCCATAAGCGTTATTGCCAGCCCCCGAAAAGGGATAACTCTGTAAGAATGATGGAAGGATGGGAAATCTGTCCCTACCCTGCACAGTCAGGCTGTTCCCGAAATTGAAGAAGTCGGCCGCATAGTCGGATCGGTGCAGTTCTTCCGAGGGCTCTTGCTCTTCTTCGCTGTACATGTCGTCTTCCAGCTCTTCCTCACTGTAGACCTCCTCGGCCTCGTCCTCCTCTTCGCCCTCATCCTCGAGTTCGGCTTCGTCTTCTTCGTAATCCGCCACGGGGTCCATGATGCGCCCATGGGACGGCTGGTGGTTGGAAAAGCGGGAGTGAAGCCCGCGCGGCCTCATCCCACCCATGGAGCCAAACGACCTGCGGGGTCGCAGCATTGGAGGCCCCTCGCCCTGGTTGGGGTGGTTGGCGTACTGCTCCAGCTCCTCATAATAAGCGTCGTACAGGCCCTCGAGTTCCTCTTCGATCGCGGTTCGCTTCCTCCCACACACGGTGCAACTGCACGTATGCTTCTGCTGCTCCTTCATCTTTTTGAGCACAGCGTCCTTTTCAACCTTGACCAGGGATTTGCGCTCGGTCTCGCTCAACCCAAGCCAAAACTCCTTGATCCGCTCGCGCTCCTCTTGCGAGTTCGTATTCCATATCTTTTCCCTGGACATGCCGGAGCGTTCGTGCTGCGGGGGCGGTGGCGGCGGCGGCGCGGGGGCGGGGAAGTGACCTTGAGCGCGCTGGGAGTACTGGTTATCGTTGTGAGGCAAGTCGGCGCTCGATGCTGTGGCACTCTTTTTCTTTTTCTTTTTCGACTTCTTCGTCTTCCCAGACGTGCCCTGCGGAGCCCCGTTCTGGTACGGCGGTTGGTTCGGGAATTCCTGGCCAGCAATCGGATCTTCTTCATCGTCCTCTGGATCGGCGTCAGCCGACTGCTGGTCGTTGGTGCGAGGCGGGCTCGGGATGCCGTTGACGGCCTGGTTGGTCTGAGCTTGCTCGGCGGCCGCCTTCGCCGCGGCCTTTGCACGCCGCTTCTGCTTCTTCCGGTTCACGGGCTGAGCGGATTCGGCTTCAGGAGTGGAGGGCGCGGCGGCCGCGGCGGCCGGGGAGGATGCGGTGGTCGGAGATGGCTGGGCGGAATCGACGGGGGTGCTCATTTTCGGGACTGTAATGAACTTGGATCCGTCCTTGTTTGTGTATTTTGCCGTGCCCTTGGCGGTGGGAGACGAAGGAATGTTGCCGGATGGCGGCGAGTGCGCGTTGCGGTTTCCCTTCATCTTCGTTCGTGTAGTGCGACTCGGAGGAAGGGCCGGATAATGAGGGCATGAATCGCGGCTGCACTGAGTCGCTGCAGCTCAGGGGAGCCGTATGTAGACTAGAGGATAGGCAAAGAGTAAGCTCGGTGCCGTAGTGAGGGTCCGAGGCAGCGTTTCCAGATCAACCACGGCAGTGCAAGGCGGAGGGAAAGTGGGGAGAGCAGGAGGCGCAAAGTCCGGGTGGACGAGAGGGATGAGGTAAGAGCCGGGAAGAGCATCGAGGAGTTCGGTAAAAGTTCGTAGTGAAATGATGATCCATTCTAGGGTGAATGCAGGTTGGAACCCAAAGAAGGACACGGGGCAGCAAGGTTGGCGGGTTGAGGGCAATTGACAGAGGGGTCGGGCAAACTCACTAGGGTCCACGCGTTCAAGGGTACTGGGCCAGCGAGCAAGGAAAACGGGAGCGCGCGAGGATGTCTGCCAGTTGGAGAGGCTGTCGAGTCGCTGGGGATGTGACCGGTCTGGTGCGCAGGTGACGAAGTTCGTGGTAGCCTTCGAAGCTTCCCGTCGGTCGATGTGGTTGTTCTGATGAGCAGGGTGCTACTGCGGTTTGTGGTCCCGGAACCACATGCAGTAGCATTCTTCCACCGGCAAACGGAGCCTATTGGCCAAGTCACGGTGTTGGGCACGTGATACGCTAGTTGGTTCCCTGCTCCAAACTTCCGCTCTCAGCTCCAGTTGTTGAGGTTCAAAACTCAGAACTCCCTCCACATAACCAGCGAGCCTTCAACATTTGGACACCTAGAAAGGTACACATCTACAATCTCATTTTCCGCCGGTAAAATTGTGCTTTTGTCTCCTCCATAACGAAGGCGGCGTCCAGAAAGGCCTTACTAGGTTATCACCTGCGATCAGCAGTTATCTTGAGTGCAACGGATGCCGATGCGAATGCATTTTCAGGCCCGACCAAACCCAGGGCAGGACCAGAACCGATGGCAGGGCATGATCATTCCATCATGTCAATCTTCGTATCTGGATCACTGAAGATCCTTGTTCTTTCATCTCAATGCCAAATGGTTAATCCCTTCAGTCGCCAGATAGTATATCATGACAGCTTGTACCCAATTCTGGTTGCCCGTGCCAGGTAGGGAAGGTAATGAGCAGGTTCGCCTGCGTATATCGACCGGATCTGCAACTGGGGCCTTTAATGCATACCTTCTCGGGCTGATAGCTTTGACTTCTGGAATCTGGGTGAAAAACATGGCGATGGACTGGGAGTTGGGATGCGCCATGACGGCTTTAATGTGTACGGGTGGAGTGGTTGGGTTGGCGGCTTTTCGAGCGCAGTTCCCCAAGGCACGGCGGAGGATAGAGTTGCGTTCACTGGGAATCCCCATACTGAGGACATACTCACCGGATTATACTCAGACCATGGTTTACTTCCGTTTCACGGCAATCCATGAGGAACATTGTTATAGCGCTGTGATTGATCGCATTGGACTTGTGGTCAATCTCACTGTAGAGAGTTACCAATTCGGTGATGGCTGCAGCTGATTGAATGGTGACTGATCTTCCGGACCCTAGGTTTTAGTTCAATGCAATCGTTTCTCTTTTCCTGTTCTTGTGCTACTGGCAGTTGGCATAGAACAGAACTCCGACTCGAGTTGCAGCATTCCATCCTGATAACCATGAAACTCTCCAGACGTCGGAAACAGGAAGCTGGCTGAACTCATAGCTCGCTCCGGTCCCATGCACAGCCTCAGCTGCCCCAGTGTCCAGCACTGTCCGCAGCCTATCAGAGCTCCATAACGACACGCCCTACACGGCTGAGCACCCTGTCGGCCGTCGACCCACCATGAATACGACACATTGTTCAACGTCAACTGGATTTCATGACGAGAGATACGAAGAGCTGCGGCTTCATTGCATCCTCGGAGAGACGTTGACCCAGTCGAATGCTAAAGAAGTTCCAATTGTTGGAAAATTGTCCAATTCACCTTACCTAAGGTAACGTCAATGTGCAGACAGTCAGGGCCGCCCAATCGCAATGTACGTGGTTGCGGTCATTGCGCCGAGCTGCCGACTCGACTGATGAGAAAACACGGGACCCGCACCAGCTTGGCAGGGATCTGATCTTCAGGCATCGATCTTAATAACTTTCTTATTCTGTTGGTTCTCGCTCTTCAACTGTGCAGTTTCCTCCCAACTCCGCAGGACAGACCTCCGCCAAAGTCCTGCGACACAGTCGAGCGCAATCCATCCACACTGTACACTTACTCACTGCCTTCCTTCAGGTCGAACATTACCCCGGATCTCCCCCAACTCCCCCTCCCAACGCGATCCCGGGTATTTACATCGATTGCGATTGCTACTGCGCACGACGACAGGCTTAAGAGCGAATCCACGCTCGCCTGACTAATTGCCGACCATGGCAAATGATCGCAACGCCCAGAATGTCATCCGCAGGTAAGCTGCCCGGTTGTCGTCTATCGATCTTGGGGGAAGGCCCTCCTTCGATGGTTCGCGAGGCTCGATATCTGCTCCCATTGCCCGACCGCGGCCTCGTTGACATGTTCGGCTGTCCAGGAAACTCGTCATCATAGGCGATGGCGCTTGCGGCAAGACGAGTCTGCTGAGTGTCTTTACTCTTGGCTTCTTCCCAACAGTGAGTGTTGTCCGGCTGGGAAGCTCACCCTTCCCACAGTTGATTTACCAGAACTGACATGCGACGATACAGCATTACGTGAGTAGCCCCTAAACAACCGCCCCACGTCGGAGCTGCCTCTTCGCTGCTGCCGAAATCCAACGCTTCTCGTTTACGTCTCCTCCAGCCCTAGTCCATCCACCATACCGATTGCCCTCCGATCTGACTAGCGAGTTTCCCACAGATACCTACCGTCTTCGAAAACTACGTGACAGATTGTCGAGTAGATGGCAAATCGGTCCAGTTAGCGCTCTGGGACACAGCTGGGCAGGAGGACTACGAACGGTTACGGCCGCTAGCGTACTCGAAAGCACACGTCATCCTAATAGGCTTCTCGGTCGACACACCGGATTCCCTTGACAATGTCAAACACAAGGTGGGTGCCACCGTCACCGTCCTGGCTGCCTTGTCCGTCGTCATACGGTCAAGGGCTCTCTCGTGGATGCAGCAAGCCGTCCCTGCGTCTTATGCCACCGCCGTCATGTGTAACGATTGTGCGACGCGTGGCAAATGCTTCTGCCCCTTTTGACACAGCGGATGCAGGCGGATGGGGTCAGTTTCACTAACCGAAATGGTTCACAGTGGGTTGTGGAAGCACAAGAGCGTTGCCCCGACGTACCAATCATACTCGTCGGCTTGAAGAAGGACCTGCGGGACGACCCCGTGGCGATCGAAGAGATGCGGAGACGGTCACAAAGATTCGTTACTCCGGCGGAAGGCGAGCACGCCGCGAAGGAAATCGGCGCGCGCAAGTACCTCGAATGCTCTAGTCTCAGCGGCGAGGGCGTGGACGACGTGTTCGAAGCGGCTACGAGGGCTTCGCTGCTCATGTTCGAGAAGACAGAAGGCGGTGGCTGCTGCGTGATTTTATAAACAGCCGAGTAATGCAAGGGCCTATCGAGCGAGCCGGACGACCCCCGGCCCCACCGAGAAACCGGGCAACCCGTGCGAAACGTTGACCAGACCCAAGCCGGGCGCTAGTGGGCCCTTAGGCGATCGCCCCGATCTTCTCGACCATTGACGCCTTGTCAGGGCTGCTTGAAACATCCCAGATATTTCACGCATTGGCACGACATAACTCTGGTGAAGGAGTGGGAGGAGGGCAATCTAACTAATCACCTGTCGCACGCCAGACGTTGATAGCGGGCCTAGCGTGTCATGACCCATGCTGTATATATATGCTATAGACTTTTTAGTTCTTGATTCCAATTCGGCTGATGGCCTTCGGCGCTAAGTTCTCACAAGGAGCGCGGGCCGCGACGGACAGTCAACATCGCGGGGCAGGACTCAGAATAACCAGGAGATTGGACCATTTGGGCAGATCGTCGGTGCAGAGGTCATCCTATTCCGAAGGGCGCTGAAGGGCTGTCGAGGTCTGGAATGAATTGTAACTTCCTCATGGACTTAGAACTCGACATTCAAATCTCGTCCCGCGGACGCGAGCACATGAACGTTCTCCCAAATCTATGATAGAACTCCGCGTCCTTGGGCCCTTCCTTGTCCAACATGCTATTCTACAGGATATTCTAGTTTTACAACACAGTAACAGCCCCTGTATGTCAATATTCGCATAACAGCTTCATCACCCTGCCCACCTTTGCCAACAGTATCCCTCCGTCTACTTGGCCCATTGTCCAACCACAGAAGAACAAGCCCCTTTCCTCATCTCCCCTTGCCCCCCGTTTACCGCTTCCAGTCATGATTCCACGCCACTCTGGCGGGCGTCTCGGTCTGGGCCCGCGCGTACTCAATTGGCACCCCCTGCAGGCCCCAAACCCCCTTCTTCTCCATGGCGACGCGGTACAGATAACCCTCATCCCTCGTGCCCGGACCGCTCGTCAGCCGCAGCTCCTCCATGGCCGCGTGCATGCTCTGGTACTGCCGCATGAGGTTGCGCTCGCGCGCCTCGCGCTCCCGCCGCCGAAACAGGAGCCACGCCCGGTGGATCGTCCAGTGCCGCAGGTGCCGGTTGCGGCCCATGCGCAGGGGCGGCGGGATCCGCTTCGGCGAGAGCACCGCCAGGTGCCGCATCATGTTGATCATTCGCGGGTCAGGCGCTTCTTCGGCGCCCTTGCCTTTCTTCTTGGCTGGCTTGCTGCCAGGTTTGCCGGAGCCTTTGGCGGCGGCGCCTTTGCTGCCTGGCTTGCCGGGTTTGCTGGTGCCTTTGTTTTTGGCGTTTGGCGGAGCGAGGGGGGAGGGTGTTGTTGAGAAGGCGGCGCTGGTTGATGGTGCGAGGAGGCATTGTGTGTTTGTCGTCTTGGGGGAGGAGAAGCGGGTGGGGCTGAGACTGGCTGGCCGGGTGAGAATCCGCGAGGCGAGGCCTCGGAGGGACGGGAGGTAGAACGACATGGCGATGGTTCTGTTTGATTAAGCGGAGAGCTGGTTGAGACTTGGGAACGTTGGCTGTGTTCGTGGCTTGCCGTAGCGATGCGATTTCCTCCCTGGGGATCCGGTTGAGGGCTTTGGTTCTTGCTAGCCTAGCTAGCGCCGGCAATTGAGCGCTTCTCGGGTTCAGGCACCTCGGATGACGGCGAGGGCAGGTCGGACGATGATTTGGCGCGGTGCCGTCGTGCTCCTCGCCGGGACTCGGTGCGCGAGTGATGTGTGGATGCTGCCAAGAGGAAAATTGAAAAGCTGCGCCAAGCACGTCCGAGCCGATCAGCTCCCACGCCGCAATTGGCCACCCCCGCTGGTCCGGTCACAGGGGTCCGTGAGCGCGACCTAAACTTACATGGTAACTACGATATTAGTGGAAATAGTGGCCTGTTTTCGTTCATCGAAGCAGTAGTCCCTCACCACCCTGACATCCATCCGTCAGATCGTGCCAGTTGCTGTCCTGCCAGAACAAAGTTCATGACAACTGAATTCCGATTTCACCTTACTGTGGTAGTGTAGATCCAGGCCCAAATCTTACTTACCCTGGTCTGTTTAAGTTGATGCCGTGTAAGTGAAAGTAACAACCAAGAATGATACGTACGAACACTACCAGGGCTACCTCATGTTTCTTCTTTTCCATTGTCTCATCATTTCTTTTCCCGTCTTTTTCCTGCCAACTTTTATCGACTTTCTAAAAGACACCTTCTGTTCTTGTCCTCGCTGTTTTCCTTCTCCAACTGTACAATACAAGCTGCGTCGCGGGCGGAGCTCCGTTGCAAGCCGCTCCTCCCCGCTAGGGTTAAAATTTCACAGTTGTGCCCCGCCCCCGCCGTCCGATCCTTGCTGCTCTGCTAGATGACTCGCAACAAGCCAGCCCGGTGAGCGTTGGCTCTCTGTCCGTCCAGCCAACCTCCAACGCCTTCGTCGAATCTGGGTGTCGTCGCGCGTACCTTCGCCATGGCGTATCTCACTCTCGCAGGCGACTCCTGCTTCACGGCCTCCGAGGCCCAGAAGCTCAAGGACCAGATCAACAAGGTCACGCCCATCAAGGTTTCCAATTTGCGAGCATCTTGGGTCTACTACGCTCATATCGACGGCGACGCCGGTGCCGCGCAGCAAAAGCTTGCTCAATTGCTGCCCCTGCCGGCCGACTTGGAGCTGGCTGCTTCTCATCTCTCGCACATTGGCTACAGTCGGAAGTGGTACGTGACGCCGCGGTACATCTCGCCATGGAGCTCCAAGGCCACCAGCATCGCCCACGTCTGCGGCTTCGAGCAGCAGATTCGCCAGATCGAACGCGGCCGCGTTGTTGCCGTCGAGTTCGAACAGCCCTACAATGACAAGAACATCCCCTTCCGCGACATCCTCCACGACCGCATGACCGAGACTCTCTCGACCGATGCGCCCGACCTCAATGCCATGTTTGCCGAAGGGCAGCCCGCTCTACTCGAGGTTGTCGATATCTTCGCCAACGGCCAGGACCCGGCGCAGGTCCTCAACGAGTACAACAAGGCGCGAGGTCTGGCTCTGGACCAGTCCGAGGTGGAATACCTGGTAGAGAAGTTCGCCCAGCTGGGGCGCCCACCACATGATATCGAGCTCTTCATGTTCGCCCAGGTCAACTCGGAGCACTGCCGCCACAAGCAGTTCAATGCAAACTGGACCATCGATGGCATGGCCAAGCAGAGGTCGTTGTTCGAGATGATCAGGAACACCCACAGGGTGACACCGGATTTCACCGTGTCTGCTTACAGCGACAACGCGGCAGTCATGGAGGGTGAGCACGCCCACCTCTGGGCTCCCGATTATTCGACCGGCTCTTGGAAGCTGCACAAGGAGCTTATGCATGTGCTGGCCAAGGTCGAAACGCACAACCACCCGACCGCCATCGCCCCTTTCCCAGGAGCTGCCACCGGATCTGGAGGCGAAATCCGTGATGAAGGTGCGGTCGGAAGGGGATCGATGCCCAAGGCTGGACTATGCGGTTTCTGGGTGTCGGATCTGCTCATCCCTGACCATCGGGCTCCCTGGGAAATTGACGTTGGCCGTCCGGCCCATTACGCCAGCAGTCTCGACATCATGCTCGAGGCCCCCATCGGGAGCGCCCGGTTCAACAATGAGTTTGGCCGGCCTTGCCTCGCGGGTGCTTTCCGCACCCTCCTTACGGCCGACGATACAAAGGTTGAAGGAGAGTTCCGCGGTTATCACAAGCCCATCATGATTGCCGGCGGTGTCGGCACCGTCAGGGAGAAGCACGCCTTGAAGCGTCCCGAGGACGTCTTGGAGGGCGCGCACGTCATCGTTCTGGGCGGGCCTGCTATGCTGATTGGTCTGGGTGGCGGTGCTGCGTCGAGCAACGCTTCGGGAGAGGGCAATGCCGACCTGGACTTTGACAGTGTCCAGCGCGGCAACCCGGAGATGGAGCGCCGCGCACAGATGGTTATCAACACCTGCGTGGCCTTGGGTGATCACAACCCTATTGCCATGATACATGATGTGGGCGCCGGCGGTCTTTCGAACGCGCTGCCGGAGCTTGTCAGGGATGCCGGCTTTGGTGGCAGGTTTGAGCTCCGCCAGGTCGAGAGTGTGGACCGGAGTATGAGCCCGCTCCAGATCTGGTGCAATGAAGCCCAGGAGCGCTATGTCCTACTGGTGAACAGCGACGGAATGGAGAGGTTCACCAGCATTTGCCGTAAGTTTTGGACTTCGATTCCTCCAGTACACTGTTGGCTAACAACAGATAGGTCGTGAGCGCTGTGGATTCTCAGACGTCGGAACCGTCCTATCCCGGGAACAAGACGGCGTTTCCAGGTTGATTCTTAGTGACAGGGAGTCGAACGAATACCCGCGTCCCATTGACGTCCCCATGGATGTCCTTTTTCCCAAGGGCCGGAAGCTGGAGCGCATTGTCAATTCCAAGCAGCCTGCTTGGCCCGTTTTCGACCCCATTGCCAGCCTGAAGTCTGCTGTTGGCGGGTCTCTGAGCGATGCAGACCTCTTCCAGCAGGCTGTGCAACGCGTGTTCTGGATGCCGTCGGTCGGCTCCAAGTCCTTCCTGATCACCATTGGCGACCGCACAGTCGGCGGTCTGACCGCCCGGGACCAGATGGTGGGACCCTGGCAGACACCGGTTGCCGATGTCGCTGTGACAGCGACATCGTTCAACCTCAACGGCGCAAGGACAGGCGAGGCAATGGCTATGGGTGAAAAGCCCACAATCGCGCTTATCTCGCCTGCGGCCTCGGCTCGGATGGCTGTTGCCGAGTCTCTGCTCAATTTGGGCGCAGCAGATATAAAGGGCGGCAATCACCGCGGGGACTTGCGGCGTGTCAAGCTTTCGGCCAACTGGATGGCGGCTGTGAACCACGCGGGCGAGGGAGCTGCTCTTTATGAAGCTGTGGAAGCTATCGGTATGGACCTGTGTCCAAAGTTGGGTGTCAGCATCCCTGTCGGCAAAGACTCAACATCCATGAAGTCGTCGTGGAAGGACGGCGAGACCAAGAAGAGCGTGACGGCGCCCGTTTCGGTGGTCATCTCGGCGTTCACACTGGTTGAGGATGTTCGCCGCACGTGGACCCCGCAGCTTCGCCGGGTGGAGGATGTGGGCGAGTCTATCTTGCTCTATGTCGATCTGGCCCAGGGCCGCAAGGCTATGGGTGGTTCTGCCCTGGCACAGTCCCTCGGTGCCATCGGCCACGAGGCCCCGGATGTCCGTGACGTCGACCTTCTGAAGGACTACTTTGATGCGCTGGCTCAACTTCACGAGAGTGGTGTCGTTCTCGCCTACCACGATAAGTCGGACGGCGGCCTCCTCACCACTATCGCCGAGATGATGTTCGCCGGCCGCTGCGGTGTCGACCTGATGATGGATGGCATTGCTGCCTCGGGAAGCCTGGCGGACATGGTCGATACCCTCTTCAACGAAGAGTTGGGTGCCGTCTTCCAGGTCCGCGCCTCGGACGAGACCAATTTCAAGAGGTGCTTCGCCACTTGTGGGCCTCCTGCTGGCCTGATCCGGAAGTTTGGCGTTGTCCAACCGACATTCAAGCAAACACTCACCATCCGGTATGGTGACGGCGCACCGTTCGTTACCCTTGACAGGGCCGAGATGCAGCAGTGGTGGAGCAAGACGTCGTACGAGATGCAGAAGCTCAGAGATACTCCTGTTTGTGCCGAGTCCGAGTACGCAGCCATTCTGGACTCAGGAGACCCTGGCCTCTCGTTCAATCTCACCTTCTCGCCCTCGGAGAACATCGCTCCGCTGACGGCGTCCATCACGGGCTTCTTCGGCAAGATGCCCCGCGTGGCCATCCTCCGCGAGCAGGGCGTCAACGGCTACGCCGAGATGGCGTTCGCATTTCGCGCGGCGGGCTTCGACGCCGTCGACGTTCACATGACGGACATCATTGCGGGCCGCTCGCTGTCTGACTTTGTCGGACTTGCCGCCTGCGGCGGCTTCTCGTACGGCGACGTGCTCGGCGCGGGCCAGGGCTGGGCCAAGTCGATCCTGCTGCACGACAAGGCCCGCGCCGAGCTGGCGGCTTTCTTCGCCCGCAAGGACACGTTCGCCCTGGGCGTCTGCAACGGCTGCCAGATGCTGTCGCGCCTCAAGGAGCTCATCCCGGGCGCCGAGCATTTCCCGGCTTTTGTCGAGAATGCTTCGTCGCAGTTCGAGGCGCGCTTCAGCATGGTCAGGGTTGAAGAGGATTCGGCTACTCGGTCGTCGGTTTTCTTCCACGGCATGGGCGGCTCGAGCTTGCCGATTGTGGTCTCGCACGGCGAGGGCAAGGCTCAGTTTGCTTCGGAGGAATCGTTCCGCGCGCTGACGGAAGCGGGCGGCATCCCACTGCGCTATGTGGATAACCGGTTGAAGGTGACCGAGGTGTATCCGTATAACCCGAACGGCAGCCCTGCGGGTGTGGCCGGTGTCCAGAGCAGGGATGGGCGGGTGCTGGCTATGATGCCGCATCCGGAGCGGACCATCATGGCGGATGTGGCGAGCTATGTGCCGCCTGAGGAGGTTGAGCAGTGGGGTGAGTTTGGGCCGTGGCTGAGGCTGTTCAGAAGTGCGCGGAGATGGGTGGGCTAAACGTGGGTTGGGGTTGCTTGAGGCGTTGTGAAAACAAATAACGGGAGTCCCATGGCAAGGTTGACTTGGGTGACTGTTTGAATTGTCGCTATGTATATGGGTGAATTAGACCGCAAATTCCACAGACGATGGCTTTTGTCGAGGTGGCAGCCACCCCGTATTGCAACAAATGACTGTGATAATCTTTAAGATGTCGCGGTACGGCATAGCAGCAGTCCAGCGAGGGCCACGGAATGTCATAGGCACTGACTCAAATTTAACAAACGCTACCCGCGTCAAGCCTTCCCTGATGGCTGTTGAACTTTTTTTTTTTTTTTAAAGAGAGGGAATCGTGTGTATAGGTAGGCTAAGAACAACAGCTATCACCTCCCAGCACCAGCGCCACCCCGTCCGGCACCACCCATGAGATTCCGGGCCCTATCCCTGTGTCAGTATTCCAGGCGGTCATTGTGTTACTAGCAAGCAAACTCACATCTCGGCGACATTCGGATCCGACATGAGCGAGCCAATGTCAGGCATACCGCCACCCCGCCCAAAGGAATCGGCCATCTCACGCAGGCGCGGGTTGTTCATCAAATTGGCCATCAGGTCGGGGTTGCTCATGAGGTTCTGCGCCATGGACGCAAACATGGGATTGTTCATGATGGAGCCGAAGTCGGGCATGCCGCCGCCACCACCACGGCCGCCACCGCCAAACATACCCGCCAGATCGGCGAGGCTCGGCGACCCGCCGGCGCCGCCAGCATCACCACCGGCAGCATCCCGCGTCGACGACCCAGCAGCGGCAGCAGCCGCCGCCTCATCAGCCGCAATCTCATCGACCCGCCGCTTGGCCGTCTCGTACCCCTTTTTCATGGCCTCGCTCCCGCCGTTCCCCTCATACTCGATGCCCTTCTGGTACGCCTCCATGGCGCCCTTTGCGTCGCCGAGGGCGAAGCGCGCCAGGCCCAGGCGACTCCAGGCCTTGGTGTACTTGGGGTCGACGGCGACGGCAGCCTCGGCGTCGGCCTTGGCCGCCTCGTGGTCGCGCGCCGCGCTGTGGGCGGCCGCGCGGTTCGAGAGGAAGATGACGTTGCCCGGGTGCAGGGCCAGGGCTTGCGTGTAGTAGTCGATGGCGGCGGCGTAGTCCTTTTGGGCCATGGCCGCGTTGCCCTTGGATTTGAGGGCTTCGGCTTGCTTCTTTTGCTCTTCGGTAGGGCCAGAGGAGGTGGTGGAGGGAGGAGGGGCGGAGGTGGATGAGGAGGAGGAGGAGGAGGAGGCAGGGGTGGTGGGCTTGTTGACGTTCTTGAACGTCTCGTAGACCGAGTAGATCTGGAAAAGGTTCTGGGCGCCGATGGCCTGGGACACGGCGGCCTTGTCGGAGGGATCGACGCCAAAGGCCTCGCCAATGCAATTGATGGCGATGTCGATCGAGTCCTTTTCCTCAGCCTGGAGGGTGCCGTCGGTCAGCGACTTCGAGAGGAAGTCGCAGATGGCCAGCGCGAGGCGCTGCTTGGGTGTTGTGGCCTGTTGGGTAGGGGATTAGTTTACGTTGTCCCTATACATTATTGTATGGCATACAAGCATTTTGTGACAGCCGGGGACATACCATGGTGAGTACGCTTGCGCGCGTATCCCTAGAAGTCGGTTGAAAGACGCGATGAACTCTTGTCGGCGGTTATTGATCCAGCAATTCACAAAAATCCGAGTCCGAATCCACATCAAGCGTTCCTGACTCGTGGTTTCAAGCAGAAGGCGTCGGCCAGATTCCACGTCTGTCGATGGAGGGGCTGCGGAAGTGGGGCATTAGCGGTCTGGCTGTTACAGTTGGGGCAATTCCGTACGTATTGTACGGATCCGTACAGGTCCGCATTACCCTGGCGAGCCTGGTACCTTACGCCAAAGAACATTACCATGATAACGGCAGCGCCAAGACCGCTTGGAGCTTAGCTCCCGTTATCGCGGGAAACAGTGGGGTGTCGGGGCTTGTGGTGTCAAACGTCCATCAGCGTCACCATCGTTGTTGACTTGAGAACCAACATTTGAGTGCCCCAGTGGCCGGGGCGACAGTCGAGAGTTTCAGAACCAATTTCGTGAAAGTATGCAGGCTTGCTATGAGTGTTGGTAGGGTCCTCCGCTAACCGGAAAGCTGCAAGACGGTGCAATCAGGTTCGACTTCTACAACCGATTCTTTATACCTTAACCTTAACTGCAACCAGCATCGTCCATTCTCGGGTGCAGGACGCCCAGGCTCACCACGCTCAACCACGCCCCTCTCGTAATCTTCTCATCTCGTCCGCTCTTTCCTGTGGATCTCAATACTCGCTACTCGCTCAACGATGGCGACTCCAAGCAACGACAGCACCGCTGCGGTACCGCAAACCACTCGCTCGGCCCGTACCAGAACTTCTTCCCGCCGAACCATAACTACCATCGATCACCGCATCTGTTTCGTCTGCTTGCACACCGACAAGGACATACCCAACGCAGAATGGTGCAGCGCGTGCCCGTGCACGCTCGACGCCCACTCGGCATGCATGCTGCGCTGGATCGCCGAGATGGAGATGGAGGCGGAGCGCTACAAGCACGGCCTGCGATGTCCCGCCTGCAAACACCCCATCAGACTCGAAGAGCCCTACGACCCCGTCGTTGCGTTTTGGGATCGTCTGTACAGCCGCTACAGTCGCCTGGCTCCTAAATTTCTGCTGGGTTTAGTTGGCGGCGGCACGCTTGCTGGTGCGGTGTGGTATGGTGTCAACGCCGCGAGCATCTTTGCCGGTTCCGATGCCGTCGTCAGATGGTTGGGTCTCAACAGAAACAATCAGTGGGGGTTGACCCTCGCGATCAAGTGCTGGTTGCTGTCGTCCATCGGTCCCGGTCTGGTCCTCCTGCGCTGGGTGCCGTCGCTGGGCAGTGTTCTGCTCGTGCCCTTCTCCGTCGTGGTAGGTAGCGGGTTGAGTCGCTTTTCTGTTTCAACGGGTTCATTCTCTATTGACACTGACCATTGTGGCAGTTCGGCGCCGTGAGTATTGCCCATAACCAATTTCCCTCTTGGCCTCCGTCGCCACAGTGGGCCATGGCAGTGATGCCATTTGTGCACTTGAGCTACGCCTCGCTCGTACACAACATCTTCGGGCCGCTGGAGAGGCGTCTTAACAGTGCGCTTCACGGTCAGTTCGCTACCGAGGAGTTGGCTGCGCCGGTAGCCGAAGGGGAGGCCACGATCGCAGCTCTGCAGCCCGTCGCCCGGAGAGCCTACATCGGCTATGAAGGTCAGCGTCCATATGGGATATGGACCTTTATCACCAACATCAGTGTAGCCGCCGTTTACGCTGTCGGAGACTTGTTTTTCGGCGAGGAACCGGAAGAACGTGGTGGGATGGAGCTCAGGGGTACAAGGGTTTACGAAGGCGGCCGCCTCGTCGGAGGTGGCGGAGAGGGTTTGTACAGTGACCCGGAATCGGAAGACGAGGATGAGTATCCGCAGGACCTCGGGGATGATGCCGTAGGGCAACAGGCAGAGCAACAACAACCTGGACCGGAGGGGCCAATGGCCGCGGAAGAGCAACCGGCAGCGGAAGCCGGTGAAGCCGAAGGAGACGTTTTCTGGCCAGACTCAGTAAACGACCAGCCCAACAACAACAACAACAACAACAACAACAACAACAACAACAACAACAACAACAACAACAACAACAACAACAACAACAACAACAACAACAACAACA